ATCAAATACCAGCTTCAACTCCTCTCAAACTCCTGTAAAATACATCCAGAATCATCTGCAGTGGAATTAACAGGGAATCTCTTCTGGCCCCTAACCATGGATTTTGGTTACCAAAATGCTCATGAGGCCCGTCATGAACATTTTTCAAGCTGTCATGTTAATATTTAATTTATTGCATTCATTTGTAATCTATATTTAAGAGCATGGAGGCAGCGCTCCAAATGGATTATAAAAAAAATGATAACCATAAGCCATGACGCATGACTGTATTACATCCACATTTAGTGTGATTGAAGGATTAACTCTCCACTGGCTGTCATTTAGGATTTTTGCCAAGATATTTATGAATTTTGCTGCTTTAACACAGATTTTCTGACATTTTACAATGGGAAGATGTCAAATTTCAGGTCGTGGTCTTGCTTTTGAGTTTTGTGGTATATTTGGTTTGAGTTAATGGAAGATATTTTCTCTTCAGTAACATTTCTTTTATGGCAAGTCGGCGTCTCTATCTGTGTGCTCTCTGGGTCTATTTCAGTAGCAGCTCCTGTCACTTCAATTCACTTCAGTCATTTCAGTTTTGTGTCTCCATATGTAGCCAAAGATGAATGAACCAATTTCACTTCACTCACTGTCTGTCTGTTTGTCTCCGTTCTGTGAGTGTGTTGTTTATATATGGAATTTTCAGGCCAAAGGGAAGAAAAAGGCCAGAGGCGTGCATAGCCAGTTTATTTCATATACACACACACACATACAGTATACGTACAGCTCACAAATGTATGCAGAAACACACAAATACAAAATCAGTATGGATAATTAAACATGCAAATATATACACTAACATGTTAAAAATAATAATGTAAAAACTGTAGCCATACCTTCTCTCTTGTTGTTGCGAATACATTTGACTTTGGGCAGTTTGGTGAGAAGCTGGCAGTCACTTTCTGGAAAAAAAAGCACAATAAATTCAAATGAACAGAATAATATATAATATAATTTAATAGAATACTGTTTGGTGTGTAATAAATCTTGATTATTTCTTGACTCTGGTGGGAAATTAGCAGCTCGTTGAAAAGCTCTGCAGCAGCAGGACAGCAATTCAAAGCTTTCAGTTTGACAACTCAGGCATTTGTTTAGTTGCTGTTCACCCGACTGTGGGCTCCCTGCTGAATATTTGAGATGTATTAATATATTATTTTAAATATAACTGTCTGCTGTAGTACATGTTCAAGAAATACTCTGTAGTGAAGTGTCAAAATGAAACGGAGAAAAGGAAAAATGGAGAAAAAAAAGAACTGCTGGGATATGAGTCATTTGACAAGTGAAATTAATATTTGATACGTGTTTCTGAACAACAATGTCTTTTTAAAGTACTGCCTGTTCTACAATATCAACATTAGATTCAATACAATTCCATCATTCCTGAAAAGTAGAATCATTAATTGTAATCAGCAACTTTGTCGTACATGCTCAGCTCAGGCGAGGGGTTTCAGTTAGTTGCAATCT